CTCGATGGTACCATTTGAGGTATGGCATTTGACACTATCAATGTTATCTTAAGAGTAGCAAAGATTTCATTCGACTAAAAGATGCTGGAGGAGAAAGTTTGTTTATGTTGAAATTTCATGACTCCTTGCAAAGAAACAGAAACGAAGCGGCGAGTGAGTGGTGACCTGCTAACTGGTTTGTCCAATCGTGAATGGACAGATTCTAGACATGTACTAGGCTTGACCATTTTTGGTATCACAGCGACATCAAGTCTTTTCGAACAGAGTCGGAGATTATGCTTGATATTTTGCATTTTGCTCCACCACATTATGCATCCTGTCATGTCTCATCATGATTATTTTAAATATAAACTACTACTTATAACAAAATAGGTAGTATTTCGCGGTTAATGGAGAGCCCTTATATGCTATTCGGTAGAATAATTGTCCATAAAATGTGTCCACGCTTGTGGGTAGAGTTGAGTAGTTGGAGGGCCCAAAAAGGTGACTTTTTACTTCGTTTGTCTGCAGCTTGAATCCGGCTGGTGGTACAGATGAGATGTCAAGGAAAGGCGTACTAAGAATATCTTTAGGGGTGCACAAGGAAATGCAAATCAAGCCCCGTTATACACTGTTGCCGGAAACTGGTAGATTTCGACAAAAAACACTCCTAGTTTGAACAAAAAATTTTGGTTTCAATTTCGTATTTCTGGCATGTTGGCTCAGGAAAAAGGCAATCTTAAATCCTGTCCTATTTGTGCAAAGTGGTTGGCCCATCTTCTGCCAAAACGAGCTCCAGGGACGGGTGTTTAGTCGACGACAAAAAGGTGAATAAAATCCCGATTTGCTCCGTGAATCGCATCAGGTCAAGCGGTTTAGCAAGGCCCAGATCCTGTTCAGGTCTCAGCAACAGCCGTTCGAGGAGGTGCTTCAGAAGGGTACATGATCCATGCTTGGAAGCACGAAATCGACGAGATCGGTTCTTCTCTTCGTTTCCGTCTTCTTCGGTCATATAGTCAGCAGTCGAAATGTGGCGGGACTCCATTTACAGAAGACAAGCGTGCCTGAAATAGCTCTATTCATTGCAATCGGTCTGTTTTCGAGTTCACGAATCTATCCTCAACGAGGTGAGGGATAGAATGGAATTCACACCCTTACAATGATCGTTTATAATTAGGTTTTCGATACTACCAAGGGCACTCGTGGCAGTGTAGCGTAAGTGTTACCGTAACGATGTTATAAACTGTACTATCGCATACCGAGTTCGAGTCCCGCTGGAGGTGCAGAAAAGACGCCAATGAGCCCGAAAGCGCATTCCACTCAAGC